GCTGGAAAGATGCCTGTAGAAAGTGACCCAGGAGTTCTGGTGGACACACAAGATAAACAAGAATTCTGTGAGGAGCCATTAACATGGTCTTGGTTTTGGCGCTGGTTATAAGCCTGCATCTCCTCAGTGGTATGTAAACTTCAGCCTTATTTCAGACCAGTCTGCTCTCTTTTGTGCTGCTTTGGGTAAAGATTTTGTGGATGTTTTTTTCATGTGGACTCTGCCATGAATGTAGGAGGAAACATTCTGATTTTGGCTGAGGCTTTAAATGTATGACTGCTTGATTCCTATTGGCAAGCAAGTTGTCAAGCCAATTTCTTTATAGCAGAATCACCGAGTTTACTGTCTTTGTGCAGTTGGATGTGGAGGTGGATATTGAAGACCATATTTGTGCGTGTGGCTGCTTTAGCTGTGCTATGTTTGTGCAATTAGCACGTGTTCTCGCTAAAAAGGCATAACTATTAGAAGGAAGGAGCAATAGATGGGCATCAGCATTTTTACTGCTTGAGTCTGAAAAGTGTAGGCCTTCACTCCTTTTAAAAGCCTTTTCAAGACTAGTCAGCTGAAGTTGAATAGAACTCGCCTTCCAGTAAAATATTCATGATGTCCATGTAAAAAAGGTGACTCAAAGTAAATATGGAATAGTGATCATACTTCTGGTATAACAAAACTTGCACTAAAAAGGTCCCACATTAGTGCACAAGCAATGGAGAAGATTTGGAGAAGTGGCTATAGCTAGTCAAGTTAAAAACACGTCATGCCTGTATCCTGTTTCTGTTGGCAGCTGGTAGCAGATTCTTAGGAATGAGTGTAGGTGAGGAGGTGTGGATAGAGTAGTTTTTCTGGTAGGTCCTCCCAGCCTGTCAAGTGTTGGCAGTGTTTAATGGGCAGACAACATCTCGTTTGTAGCCCTGCAGGGAGGGACTTGCTAATGATTAATTAGAAAAAGCCATTTAAACAAATCAGCTCCAGGTTACTGTTATACTAACATAAATTTTTCAGAGTTGCACTTAAGAGCTCCCTGGACCAGCTCACTTGAAGGATCAGGAAGGACAGTTTTCTTCTGAGCAGGATGAATCTACTGTATTGTGTATATAAAAGGCAGCTTGGAAGTGGTAGAGTGATGTAAGCCATGGGTTTGCTAGTGAGTCTTGTTAGACAAATTCAGATTAGAAGTTATCTTGCCTGTTTTGTGTCATGTTTTAAGCAATGCTAACGCAATGAGCTGTCAGGTTTTGCAGCCTGCAAGGAGGTTTCTCCAGTGACAGCGGTCTCCAGAGCTTTTCAGGTACCCTTTTCAACAGTAGAGAGGGAACTAGCACATGAGATGCATATTGCTGCTTTTGAGTCCAAGTTTTATGTCTGTATGGAATGGTTAAGGTGCGCTGTTTAGGGCAGATGTGTTAAGGGTCTGGGTTGCAGTGTGGGGATGTTATCAGTGTTCGGATTAGTAGACTTTTCCCCGTTTTGGGACTGAGTATGGTTTGAGTCTTTGTAAACTGTTTCAAATCAGACTTCTACTTTGTAAGTCATTTAATGCTAAACATCAGTGGAAGGCTTTCATGTACCTAATACCAAAACCACCTGAATCAATGGGGAAAAGCATTGTGATTTTGCTGAGCCGAATTGAAACTTCTTTTGATCTGTCTTTTAGTCTCAGTAAGTTGAGTCAACACTTCTGAAAGATCAGAGAATTAATACTGGGTTTGAGTCATCAGGGGGAGTATTTTACCACTCCGTGCCAGGTTAGTTCTACTTTCTTCTTTCACAAGTCATTGTAAATGTGATACTTTCCAAAATTCAGGGCTAAAAGCACATGTTAAAATTGCACATAGCGTGGGTTGGTGGTAGATGGTATCTTTCTTTACAAGCCTGCTAATTTAACTTGCTTTAACCCTCTTACAACTCCAAGCCTGGAATAAGCCTTTCTTTGAGAACTAGAGTTGCTAAATCTTGCCAGCTTCTGTGCTGGCCTTGTCACAGCTGAATCTGCTAGGAGTTAAAATGAGAGGCCATCTCTTGTTTTTATGACTACCATGCTTAAAAGTCTCTGTAATGCCTGAAATAGCTGCAGCATAACCTTTTGTCGTTCCTTGGGAGTAGAATGAAAATATCTGTATTTCCACTTTGCGGTTCACTTGTTCCCGACATTTGAGTCAGCTTTAACACAATGAAAGTGGCAGCATCTCCTGGCAGACAGGCAATGAGGATAAGAGCGCTTCTGATCTCTCCCCTGCTGCCCTTTCCTCTTCATGGAAAGGTTCTGCCAAAATGTTTGGCATACAGTAGTAATGCTGGATTTTTCCAGATGCTGGAGAATCTCACCAAATAATGCAAATGTTAGCAGGAAAAGTGAATAGTAGGAGCGCAGCTGACCACAGAAACATCTGAGATGCTTCAAGGAATTAAATCTGTTCCAGTGAAAGATTTCTTTAAAGAGGGGAAGCAAAAAGAAGTTGAATTACTGCTTTTCACTTTTGCATGTATAGAATTCGTTTTGGATTTGAAGGTAGGCTTTTCCTGTTGCTGTACTGCTCTGAACTGGCGCAATATAGGTTCCTGCCAGCGAAGGTGTACCATAGCTGGTCTTACCCACATTAATGGAAGTTGTATGCGCTGTGGTAAAATTGGAATGTACTTCTGCTGCTGTATATCCCTGCAATGGTGAAAATTGATAAAGCAGCGTAAGAGTTTCTTCAGACAGCAAACTGGCTTGATTTGACAACAGGACTCGGTGCTTAAAGCTGCGCTTTAAATGAGACATCTATATGCAGGCATCTAGTGAAAAAATGACTTGTTGCTAATGATAATGTTAGTCTGTACCCCTGTCCTGTAATCCTAGATAAAAGAGATAGGTAAAGAGCTATTTGTGGAAGACCCAGTATTTTGCGTATTTGCTTATTACATCCTCCCTCTTTTCTCTCAGGGGAGGTAGTTTATCTGTTTGCAAAATGGGGGATTTGAACTGTAAATGTGCAGTTATTCTTGTTTTGATGAGCCCTTGCTGAATCCCATGCGAGTTCCTGGTTTTCCGGCTATTGTGGCCATAGCTTCAGATGCGAGGTTTTTGATAACACCATTTTGGAGTCATGTGCCCTGTCTCGCTACTGATTCCCTTCTTTAGCTTTATACCAAAGCTGTTCTAACCAGCAATGTGGTCAGATTCTTCCCTCAGGCCCATTTTCTTTCCAGGCTGAGTTATTTTGTGTTTTGGCTCTCATCGCAGACCCACAAGCAGCTGTGCCTGCAGCAGCTCACATGTGGGTGCCAAGCTGTGGGACTGAAAATGAGCCACAGGGGGCAAGAGAGGTTGGAAATTCTTTGAATTGCTGTTTCTGATGTACTCCTCGCATTGTGGAAGGCCAGCTTTGGTTCCCTGCTTGAACCTGCAGATGGGCCCTTCAGATGTCCTCCTCCAGTGGAGCACTGGATCCGGGATATGCAGTGCACTTGCTTCGTAGGGCATGTGAATATGGTTAAAGCTTTCTTCCTGTTAGCAGAAAGCAGAGATGTTCATGAGGAAATGCTGCAGTTTGGCTATTTTTGAATTTGCTTTCAAAGATGGGTCGGTGAGGATGTGGCTCTTCTGAAGCCGATCACTGAATCAAGTGGAAGTCAGCTGGTGGCGAATTGCGCAGTTGTAAATTGCAGCCTTGTGTAACTTGTTCCACAGGACACATGCTTGTGGTGGATGCAGTGTAAAACTACTACTTTTTAATCCATCTGGTTAGAAAGAAAGACTTGCTAATGGGCAAGTTCCCTCTTCTGTCTGGTAAAACAGATGGTCTTTATAAGGATTCTTTGTGTATACCCAGCTCCATCAAATTTGGTTTTCTTCTAAAATGCCTGCGGGCTGCACTTTGTGTTGTCACTGAACTTAAGTATGTGCTCAAACATTTTCCTAGAAAATGCATATGAAGAATGTAATTGCAAATGTTGGCAAACTGGAAGGCTCCAGTTAAACCTTTCTTTAATCTTTATTTATCTTTCTTGAAGCACTGGTTTTGTTTGTTTCATGTGAAATAGCCTGCGAGTACCTTTTTCCAGGAAAGGGTAGTTTTAAAGTGGTTTTGGTAGGTTCCAGGTATGGTAGTGTACACTCTTACATCAGAAGGTAGCAGCAGTGAGGAACTGTTTCAATAGGATATGGATCTGAGAAGAGGCTGATGTTGAAAAATCACCTTCTGGTATCTCTCTGAACATGCTACCCTTGCGCATACAAGCATGTGAGCCATTAATGGATGGAGTGGTAGAAATGGTGAATACGTTTTGGTGTGCCAAAGCATGAATCTTCTGCTGACGAGCCCCTTGAAATGACCATTTGTTGATGTGTCATGTGCAGCACACCCTTAACAAATGAGTGGATAGACTGTGTAGGTGTATTTCAGGCTTGTGAGGATTCTAGGAGGGAGATTGTATGTCTCATGTTTTGTATGGGCTTAGACTTAGTGCTGGTTTTGTCCCTGAATATCTTAAAAATCTTAAGTTGCTCCTTGGTGATGATTGTGTAATTCATACATAAGTTCTCTACCAGCCTCTCTTACTTTATTAACAATGTGCTGGTGTGAGTTTTTATGTTCTTTGATACTCATACAACTGGTTCATTGTGTAAATTATAGCATTGATAAATGAAGAATTCATTTATAGTGCATGTGTCAGTTGACTTAATCCTTTTAGCAAAAGAATACAGTTGGCTACCTTTCTAAAATTCATCAGCTTGGCAGTCTGAGCTTGAGTTGTCCTTAATGGAATTCTGCACACCTTCCCTTCAAAGGAATACAAGTGTTTTGCTGCATTATGAAGTGTTTTAGTAGAGCACCTTCACTGGTATTACCCTCAGTGTTACTCCTTTTTTCAGCTAGCTGGGTTGTTCATACATTGCGTATCGGTAAACATTAGGCCCAGAGGCTGACTTGACTTGCTCAAGGTCTTCTGACAAGACTGACAAAGCTGGTTTAGCCCATGATTTCCATTCTCTCAGCCTGTTCTTTATCCACCAGATTCTGTTCCTGCTGAATCTGTGGTGTGAGAAGAGACAGCAAGGGTAGCAGAGATGGCATTGTTCAGCTGGCTTCCTTCTTGACTTTTTGGTAAGTTGGGAGTAGGTTGGAGGGTTTAGGGAAATTATTAGGCAGAAATTGGTAAAACCTGTTCTACAATGTTGGGTTTGCTGTGTAACACACTACAGCTGACTTAAAAACCAGGCTGTAGGTCTCTTGCTTTGCCCTGTGACCCTTGTTCCTATTAAAGTGGCAGTTTCTGTCCATCTGGTGCGCCCTTTCTCAATGTACTGGATGGTGTGGACCTCTTTTGCAGAGCCTTGTGGATTAATTCAGTGAATTCCTGCCCACGCCTCCTGCCATTCCTTCCAGTTTCATCAGAAGCAGCTGGCTTCAGGCTATTCCCCTTTTCTAAAATCTCAGATGCAGAACTTCAGCAGAAGTCTGACTTGTTTTACACATACCTGAAGATGTTTCACACACACACACACACACACATCTCCCAGCTGCACTATTTAATATGCTGAGTCTTTCTTGTTTTGCCTCTGTTTGCTTTTTTCAGTCATACTCCATTTCTGTTCTTCCATAGAGTATTGTCCGTGTCAGGATTGTGGCCAGGTGGTGGCCTTTGTCTGCTGTCTACCTCTTATCCCTGTTTTTTCTTTTGGACTTCGCTAAAATTCCAGTATATGTTTTCTTGGGTGAATTTTGGAGAAGGAAGAAGAAGAATTATGTCTTGAAAATTACACTTATCCTTTCCATTAACAGTAGTACTGTTTTCTGTTGGTGTCCCCCCCACCATGTTATGCCATCTTTCTTATGTTCTTTGCATTAATTATTTCCTGTAGGCCTTTTTCTTATATTCTTGCCCAGTTCTCCACTCTGACTTTTAAAAAACTGTTACAATAGCTAAAAATATCTGTTATAATGGCTAAATGTACCTGTTTCTCCTGGTATTGGGTAGTTGTGCCACTATCCAATTGCTTTTTTGGGGTCAAATTACTTACTCTCACTGTTGTCTTCCTCCTTGAATGTTTTCCAAGCTGCAGTCCTCTTGAATCTTACATCCATTCCAGTTTCATTTGAGTTCTTCTTTCTGACAGGCTTAGCTGTGCATACCCGGAGCTTTCTCTCCTTACTTGCTCTGGTGCTTCTTGCTGCTGAACAATGATGCTTTTAAAATATCTTAATCCTCCTGCAAATACAAATAATTTCTAGGGTTCCCAGTTCCCATAGTTTTCTCATGGTTTTCCAGTGTGTGACTGTTGCCCCTGTAGGTTTTTTTTTTCTTACTAAACTCTTTTCCTAGATACAGAATCCGTTTTGGGATGAATTTCTGAAAATAATATGGGATTTCTCAGACTAAGATGGGCTATTTCTTAATGGGAATGATTCATAACCTGAAGCAACTAAAAATTGGTTTTCTTTTGCCAAACAGGAGGAATGGCAAGCATCTCCTACCTAAAATCCCTGCTAACTGTGGACTACAGCTCCATGATGAGCTATTAAACTGAGCTGTTTATGGAGGGTTCCTTAGGTAATTGTACTTCAACATGGACATTAAGATTTGGAGATGTTCAAATACAGCGTAAATAATAGGTATTTGAAACATTCTACAGAAAGGCAGGATCTTTTTCTTTTGTTGAAAATCATCTTTTTCTTCCCTATTTCTACAGTTCTGTACTGTTGTAACAAGCAGTGCAGTTGCAGTTAAGTCAGCTCTGAGATGGGTCTCAATGGTAACTTCAGCGTTTACTTAGAGAGAACTGTGGTTTTGAAGGGGAATTCATTAAGCTGATGCATTTGTGCTGAGCAAATGGCTCTGCAATAGGGCCATTATATATGCAAAAAAAAGAAGGCTGTGTCTACTCTTCATAAGTACAGGAAAGGGCAGGAATTTTGATTAGCCCAGTGCAGTAGCTTTGCAGAGCTCAGGAAAAAGTAGAAAGGCTCTGAAGTGATGTTGGTGGCACCTCGTACACTCACAATACCTCTGGCTCTGGGCCTCACTCTCCACTCACCCTGTTGCAGAAGTGTGGCTTCCTCTATGTTGAGATTTTTGAAAAAATGCCTTCATTCATTTTTCTAAGTTCTTCATATCTGCTGTCATCACGTTCTCCGTATCCTAGCATCCCACTCCAGTGGTTCTGAGTAATGTTCTCTTTATCTCTGCTGTCTTGGAGGTGGGTATCTGGCATGTAATAAAATGGTAAAATTGCCCAGCTGTGCAGAGGCTTGTAGTATTCTGAGTGCTAATGTACTGCAAAGCTTGTGGCCCCGTTTTCAAGAACTAGTTGAGTAACTGCTCACCTTTGTGTTTCAGGATAGTGCAAGTGTCTGGCTGTTGATCCCGAGAAATGCAGTTGTTGTATCTGCTCTCTGCTGTCCTCTTTGTCATCTTCTGCTGTGTTCTTCTAGCCAGCATCTGGCCTTGCTTTGGGCTTGTTGCAGAAACGTTGAACAGATCATCCACGTGCCCTTAAAATCCTCTGTTCCCCATCCAGGGGAGGAGAGTGAAGCCGGGATGATGTCCTCGGCCAGGTGCTTTGCCTCAATTGAGCTCGGGTCTCCAAGTCCTTCACGCTCGTTCAGTGCCGGGGCCCTGAGTGGGTCCATGGCCGTGTCCCCGCAAGGCTGGCGCAGTGTGCAGGGTCTGCCATCGTGGGGGTGCTGCCCTGTACAGGGGTTGGTTTCACTTGCCCTCGGGCAGAGGGTGCTGTTAGTGCAGGGGCAGCTCAGCCAAAGGTGCCAGAGGCTTCCCTGAAGAATGGAGTGGAAGATGTTCATGTCTCAAGTGCTCTCAGTTCTAGTGTCCTCGTAGGTGAGCTCCAGGTAAACACGAGCAAGCTGTTTGACCTATGCGCAGAACTGATGACTGAGTAGGAGGAGAAAATAAAAACTGTGTGGGCCAGTGTGACCTTGTAGGCTGGAACCCTGAAACCTACCTGGGCTTTCATCATATATTGGTGGCTGTAAACCCCAAAAGAAAGAATTCCTTCAATAAGAACTTCTCGATTAACTCTGTAAGATTTAGTTTTAACTTCAATTATATTTGTATCTCTCCAGTTATTTGAAAGAGTCTAAAATAGCCCAGCTTCCAGAGGCACCTGCATTTAAATGTTGGGAGGAGGAGGGGGGAGGAGGATGAGGATGGAACCATGCTCACTTTGTTTGTGTAAAACTTTCCTCCCATGTCCAAGAACTGCATCTCATACCTAATTTCTTTTGCAGTTTTGTTCAGTGGAGGGACTGCTGTATGTCAGCCATGCTAAAGGGCAAGTGATGGAGGCAAGTACTAGTTTATATATTCACAGTTCTCTAATACTGTTTTTTTACCAGTTTCTCCTTTGAACTGTTTTGTTTCCGTGTGCTGATGTGAAATGACTGCACAATGAAGGGCAATATTCTTGGGGTGTAATGTTACAACATCTGCTCAGTGTGACTGTATGAAATTGTGCGTTTTGTCCCTGCTGTATCGTACTCTTGTATGACTAAGAAACACATGTTTTTGAACTTCATGCTATAAAGTACTTTGTTTCCTCTCTCAAACAGAATATAATGGTGGTTTTGTTTTGGGGGGGGGGGAGGGAAGTTCAAAACTTGAATCCTAATGCTGATTAATTCTGCTGATTGACAATTCTTCACATTATTTCCCCCAAAAGTAGATACTAGGACAAATAAGTAGTTTAAGACTCTTCATACCAGGTGTGCAATTTGAAAAGCTCATTTCAGGCTCAGAACAGACTCATCACATGGGAACACAAGTAGTCAGAAGACCACCAGGCCTTGGAGAGAAGGCTCAGTGTAGTTTCAGGGGTAGTAGTGACATGTTTGTGAGCTCACTGTTGTCTAACTTGTTTCAGGTCTATAAATTGACACAGAGCTAATTTAAGAAGGATAATGCTTTCCAGAAGATAATGCATGGGAGTGTAGGTAGACTGAAGTGGTGTTCTTTCAGATCAGCAGTATTACCAGTGGTAATCTGGATGGGAAGCATGCAGGAGATCACAGGTATACTGGTTAGAAGGTGTATTGGGCATCTTTGATATGAACTACGGTTCTTCACGAGTCCTGACTGAAAAATGAATACTGAGGGAATTGGCTAAAATGAAAAAGGCGGTTATGGGTCAACTGTCAGATTTGTGTTTTGCATGCCTAATAACTTGGGGACAGTGAGGTTTGTTCACTGAACCATTGTTGGATGAAAAGGGCAATCTCTAGTTTTTGTCTCTTTTCCCCACCAAATTAAATTGGCTGGAAACCTGCAGTTCAGCTTTCTGGAAAACCTATTGCACACGAAAAAAGAAAAGACAGATTGAGCTCAAAAGTCAAAGCATGACACTGCTCATGAAGGCACTTGAAGCCGTTTAAGAAACTGTTAAAAAATGCACAGCCAACCTTTTATTTTTACATATTTGATTCTGCTGCACAATTTCTGCATGAATTGGTAAATACATTGTATTTTCTGGTATGTAGTTTATTACTTTGCATTCAGTGTCAAACTGGCCAATGTATTTACACTCAGTGGTTGTAGCATGTTCAAAGTACTGAGAGAAAATCCCGTATGACTCCAGCGTTTTGCTTTCTGTAAGTACAGAATTGCATCTTGCCTCCAGCTGATAGCAGTGACATTTGAAAAAGAGAGTGAGGCAGCTCTTCTGATATTTTTGGATGCCAATTTGTAAAGCATTTTGGAATATCTGTTTAACCCATTCTGTCAGGCTTCAGATGCAAAAATTGAGTGCTCTAATGGTAACCTCAGTGCATTGTGCTTCTGCAGCTGTTTTAAGATAAGAAAGAATGCTTTCAAATCCCAAACATATGTTGCATTTCAGATGAAATTTTGTTGCTGGTTTTATTTATTTTTTTATTTAAACCCCAGGCTGCTTTCTGCCAAAATTGAGGTAGAACTCTGGTCTGGTTTCTGTATTTAGAGAAGCCTAATCAAAGCTTTCTCCTGCAAGAAAACAATGATCAGCTTCTGAGCATGTGATCTCATGGTGCTGATGTGAAACTCTTTCAGATAATGTGTCCTTCCTTCCTTCCTTTCTTCTTTCCTCATTCCTTTGCTGTACTTCTCCCATAGTGAGTTGCTATCTGAGTACTCAGCTGCAGCGTCCTATAACCAGCTCTTGCCTGAGCTCAGATGACAGGAAGGTTGAGCTCTCTTGGAGAAAAGCTGCGTGTTTCCTCTCTGCTAGAGACTGAGCTATACATACACGGTGCTGCTCCTGTTCAGATTGGTTGCTTATTCTACTTTTAAAAAGACATTTTTGTTTTCTCTGAGAACTATGGAGAAGACTGTGCCAGTTGAAACCGTTTCACTTGCCTGTTCCTGCTTGAAGACAGATTTTCACATCTAGTCTCCACTGCCATCAGCGGATGTTGGCAGTAATAAGCCATTTCTTACTATTTGGGAATGCATAACTGATTTGGAAGTGTTCTGTTTTCTTGCATATGCTAAATACTGCGAACTTAAGCATTCTACAGGAAAATCAGGTAGGCTGAGCAGACGTTGCATTTGAAGCACGAAATACCAGATCTTTGTCAAGGAACAAAATAAGTTCTACCAAAGAGACTAGCATGCCCTTCAGAAGTTTAACTTCATGCTCTAAGTATTTTTGTGGGCTTGTTCTTAACAAAACCCCACTGGTTTCTCCTTGCTTCTCCCCCTTTTGAACAGCTTTTTTTACCTTCTTGCTTTCCTGTACCCTTTGTGCTGGGCTTCTTCCCCCAGGTGATGAATGACTTGTCTCATACAAGCTTTGGCTTCTGCATACAGCCTAGATGCAACTAATACCACATGGAGGGATGCTTGGAAAACTGATACATATTGTTTTGTTAATGGCATGTTTTGCGCTTTGGATTTTTTAACCCACTACTTTCTGCATGGATGTGTAATAATGACTCTTTTGTTTAACACTAGATAAGCATGAGATCACCGTGGCACAGCTGCATGTGTAGTCACTCTTGAAGCAATTGCACACCTAATTGGCTGACAATCTTGGCATTTTAAAAACACACGCCTTTCAAAGACAGGGGACATAATTATATATGAATAGTGAAATAAACCTGTTGGGTGTCACCAATGGAGCCCTCTAGCACTGAACAGTTGTGTGATGACCCTGATCCTGGAGGCAAATCCCAAGATCAAGAGACCAAAAAGCAACATGAATCAGAGCAAAAATTATCAAAAATAACCCATAATGCTTTGGAGAACATTAATGTGATTGGTCAAGGTTTGAAGCACCTTTTCCAGCATCAGCGCAGGAGGTCCTCGGTTTCTCCACATGATATTCAGCAAGCTCAGGCTGATCTGGAGCCTGACATGGATCTGGAAAGCCAAAGCGTCTGTGCTGAAATTGATGGTGTCTCCACCCACCCCACAGCTCTGAACCGTGTGCTCCAGCAGATCAGAGTGCCACCTAAAATGAAGAGAGGGACGAGCCTGCACAGCAGGTGGGGCAAGGCAGATGCCCCGAAAGGAAGCCCGCAGATCAACAGGAGGTCTGCCCAAGATATTCAATCAGGTCGGCCCAGATCATCATCTACTACAGATGCTCCCACGAACTTGTCCGTGATGGAGATTGCTTCTTCTATCTATGTAGGTGGAGAGGAGGCTGCAGCAGCAGTAAGTTACTCAGATTTACCTTTGGTTTTTATCATCTCCTTGTGTGTTTTCTTAAGGCTTTTAAATCCTGTTTTTAAAAACAAGTTTCTTTCAGCAAACACCAGTACTACTGTGTTTGAAAGTTTCTTTAGTGGTGAAGCAAAGAGCTTAAAAGATACAAATGTTAGTCATTTTCTCACATGGCAGGTGGCTTATTTTATATGTATTTGATCAGTGAAATGAGAGCTACTTTTGAAGCACATTAGGTTGGTTGGATGGCACACTACAGTCAAACAAGAAGTGATGGGAAGAGCAGCAGCCAGAGTAGTTCTCAGCAGCTGTTATCTAGCTCCTGCAACAAAACCTTGCATTTATGTAGATGGCTTTTTTCTTCCCCTCTTGTTTTACTGTGTATTTTATAAACTTGAGGAAATCCTGTTTGAGTGAATGGTGCTGTTGATCTTTTTGGCTGTGGAGAGGCTCTGGTAACACTGGCTGCAGCCTGTGACTGAACTGCAATGCCAGGTTGACTGCACCTGATCTAGATCAGCCTGGCTACTTGCTGATACAGGATCAGCAAGTCTGTCCTGGTTTGTCAGGCCTGTGTGGAAAAAGCCTTCGCTGAGATGACACTGTCTGTTCTGGAACATGTTCTTGCAAAGCTATGTATATCTGCTTGTTGATGATATCAAGAAGTAGTCCCTGTCTTCCCATCTTGCCAATTTAGTTGAAGCACACCTTTTTAAGAAAAAACAAACCCACCCAACAACCCAACCTAGGTTTCTCATTCAACCTGAGATATAATATATATTTTCCTAAAATTCTTTGCAGCCTTGTTCAATAGTTGTTTGTTACTGGAGGATGAACCCTTTGATAAAGATAGGGAGCATTGTGAAATTGGTTTCTGGTTTGTGTGCTCTTAATTATAGAGTCTCTGACCATGACTCTTGGACCAAGAGAAACAATCCTGCTAGTGTTTGATGCTGTTAAAATAGCACGGTCCTGAAGTTTGTGTAGATATTTCATTACGAAAATTTGCTCTCATATAATACAGTTTCTTTGATGTTGTCTTGATAATGATGGATTGGGGATGAATAAGATCTCCTTAGTCATCTGGTGGTTGCCTCACCTTGCCTCCGCGCCAAGGTTATTCTCTTGTACGTTGTTTTCCTCCCCTTGAAACCTACTTTGAGATACTCTTAAGGGAAAACCTTTTCAGAGTTCTTGGTGGTATAATATGCTCTCAGTGTATTTTCCTGATAGTCATCGGGAAATTAGCATATCTTGCATTCATACATGATAATTACAAAGTGTTAGCATATATTGCACTAGTATTCTAAGGCAGTGAGTGAAGTTTTCTCTTGGGAGAAGCACTGGAGGAGTCTGCCTGCAGCTGCAACTGAGGCTTTTGTTTCTTGCCAACAGTTAAAAGATCAGAAATAGTAATAAAGTTGTCAGGAAAAGCATAGGCTCCCCTCAGATGGATTAACTTAGCAATTGAGACATAATGATTGAGCCATTAAGAGGCCTCTTAATAGCTCCAGGCTTATTTGCTTGCTGTGAGTGAACTCGTGATCTGTGTTTTGGGAGAATTTGGGGAATGTTGATAGTTTTCTGAGTTTGTACCCAAATCCAGCAACCAAAGTTTATGAAGCAAGCTTCATATCCACCTTCAGCTAGATCGGGGGTCTCCAGAGCGAGGTAGCCAAAGACAATCCACTGGAGTGTGGGAAGAAAGTATTTTTTGTACCATTAATAAGTAAAATATTTTTTGAAATAATGTTTTTCTTTTCCTTTTTAATTTCCATTTTTGTTTGTTTTATAATGTACATAATGTATCCAGTAGGACATTATACAGCTTATAAATAAATACAAATGTATTGGCAGTCCATGCTCAAAATTTGTTTCTGGGTAGGGGTGTGCCACTGGCCTGGATGAATTGGATCATTTGGCAGGAGGGACTGGAAAATGAGAACCATTAGGCTGCTAGAACTGCATTCTGCTACAACATCTGCTATGTGTGGTAACAAATTTAGGAGTCAGTTTTGGATTGATAAAGGGCTTTGATTATTGAGAAGCAGCAGCTGTACTTCCTATTGAGAAGTGTTTTCTCTGGGTCTGCTACTTGACCAAGTTGTCATCTCTGAGGTGGATGTGACAGTGGTTCTGGTTGCTTTTTGCTGTGTCCTCAGGTGCTGTGCTCTGTGACTGGAGGAAAAGGGTCTGTTCAGGCTTGCTCGCCTCCTTTTAAGGGAAGGGACTGGAGTCTGAAAGCAGTAAATGAAATGCATGTAAACCAAGGCCTTCTTTGAGGGCTAAACCATCCAAGAACCTCTGTGACCAGTTGTCCCTATAGAGTTCAGTGAATTTCCAGCTGCTTTTTAGTATTTGCATATTTCACCATGCTTTCAGCGGAAAATACAGTTGTATACTATGGGTCTAAAGTGACATAGCCAAGGAAATGCTCCCTCGCTATTTTTTTCTTTCTTTCACAGTTCAGGGAAGTACACCTTTGTCTAATTGGGGCATTTCAGCCTGGTGGAGAAGCTTTGTTCAGCATTTATAGTGTGCTCAACGGACCTCACATTTAGGTTTTGCCCAAGAGGGTTTTCCTTTGTGGTATTGAACTGATGGATGCAGGGGGAAGAAAAGCGGACAAGCGGTAAGGCTGCTGGACCAGCCATCTCTGGATTGCATCTGGAGCATGCCCCCTGCGCTATAACATAGGCTTTTGGCAGGGTAAGGATCTAGAGCAGCTAAAGTTCCTGAAGTACCTGGAGAGGAATGAATCTGTCAGATTTTTGGAACATGAGAATGGAAAATCTGATATGTTGGTGGTATAAAATGTAGCGTGCTTGCTCACAAACTGCTGTTACAGGAAGTGGCAGCAGCAGCATCCTCATAGCATGTGAGCAAGAGGGAGGCAAGCAGCAGTTCCAGCAGTGGTCACGTTCTCCTTTTGGTACTTGTGTCTCTGTGGTGTGCATGCAGTGTGGGAGTACAGGGCTGAGGGGAGCTAGGGAATAACACACCTCATCTCTTGCATGACCCAGAGCACGTGTGCTGCTTTGGGATGTCATACCTCACCTTCCTTAACCTGAGCCCTCCCGTTCCTTTGCTCTAGCTGGGAATTGTTTCCTGATGCATGTTCTGAAAGCTATGGGTACACTTGCAGGTAGAACCTAAATAAACACTTTGGGAATGCCACAGCATTTGTTGGTAGGGCTTGGAGTTCTGTTGTACGAACGTTTCTGTTCTCGTTTGGTGTATTTCTTAAAATCTCACTTAATTTTCTTTTAGATCACTCCCTAAAAAGAAAAACCTGAGTGTGTGTTTCCTGGATTGTGCATAGTCTTAAGTGGGCTCAGAAACCTAGAGTGCCCTCAGACACATCAGTCTTTTCCATGTAAGCTAAAGGCAAAAGTCTCGCATTGTGTAAGCTATGTTTTACTTCAGAGGTTTGATATGTTTAAGTGTGCACTTAAGTGGAGGCAGTACTGGTTCTGGCTGTACATTTATTTACACATGTAAAATTACAGGATAAAGATGGCCTGTTGTCTAAAAGCATTAAATTGAAGATGCAATTAGATGAGCAAACCTTCACTTGATTCCTTTTAATTTGTTTCATATTCACTTTCTCAAGACTTCGTACATTTGTCTCCTTCAGCTCCTTGTGATCTTATCTCTTAAATAAGTTTGCCTTCATCAATTTCACGTCATTGATTTTGGTGTTTGCTGATGACAGTGAAGATGCTCAGACTCACCTGGCCTCAGCAGGGAGTATTTCCTTGGAAATTCTTTAAGAATTTCATAAATCCCAACTATAATTAGAAAAATATCAGTGAGCTGCAGCGCTGATCCATCTGTTGTGAACATATGGGCTATACAAGCTACAAAGACAAAACCCCACAACATACGTAACGGAAAAGTTCTGATTTAATAATGACAAACCCAGCATAATTGTAGTCAAGCGATCTAATTCTCATTTTTCTGATTCATGTCTTCTGTCACCAATTGATCTGCTGGTCCCAATGCTGCTGTGGTGCAGCCTGTTTCTGCTCACAGTAGCTGTCTGCCTGTCTTCTGGAGCTTCTCTGCTCCCACCACACAGTGTCAAGGCTGTGCCTGGTGCCTCATCATTGCCCTCTCATCCATCTCTACCCCTGGGGTTGGTACTGCTCTTGTAGCGGAAATCCTTGTTTTGCTTTCCCTTCTTTCTTTGTTTTCCCCCCAGTGTTCAAATTTCTGTCATTTGGAAAAAGTAATGGACATTTTGTTCTCTTTTAATGACTTCTTACTCTACGGTGTGTTGAAAACCGTGGTGGTGTGTTCTGTTGGTAAGACAGCATCCTGTAGTCACTACATAATGCTGACAGTGTCTGCGGTTAATCAGTCTAAGGTTTGCCTGTGACTGTAGAAGACTTTGCTACATGCAGATGTAAGGAGTCACCAGACTTGGATTACTGAGATTAGAGGCTTGTAAAAGCATTTGCAGGCTGCTGGGGAGTTGTCAGTGCTTCTTACTGGAACAGCAGGAGCTTTACCTGTTGCAAATGTATTTGTGAAGCACAGATGAACAGGATCCCATGTGCTTCTGTCTGGAGTTTACTACTGAAGCTTAAGACCAGTTAAACACAACCAGACTATTTCCATACCTTCCATTTTTGTGGAGTCAAGCCCCATCCTTCTGTTTGAGCTGAGGCTGCATGGTGATTTAAGTTTATGCTCAACTTTGCCTATGTAAATGCTGTTCTGAGCTTAATTAGTGTTTGGGATTCATTTGCTGCTCAGTTGGTCCTGCTGGAAACTGTTACACTTGCTTTTTAACACTAGGTGCTGTGTCTGAGATACAATTTGGAGAAGGAAAAAACTTCTTAGCTGTATCAGCATGGCCATGTCAATGATGTAACTGGCAAAAATCAAAAAGAAATGTTGTAATTCATTTCCCTTGTACACTGTGAATAGCCAGGACCCCTCAGAGCAGGCAAGACCTGGAGCAGATCCTGGAACCCGCGTTCTCC